AAAAAAAAAAAAAATTTTTACTTAATTATCTGAAATTAGTTTAATCCCATCCAAATAAAATGACTGACTAATCAGCTTTTTCAAAGACTCTGTTCTAAAAAAAATGGCAACTACTTTTTTTTTAGAATTTCAGATAAGAAAGGAAGATTGGATATAGGTCTATAATTGACCAAATCATCTGGGTCAAAAGACAGTTTCTTTAGTAAAGGTTTAATTCCAGCAACCTTAAAGCCTTTGGTACATATCCCTGTAACAAGGAGAGATTAATTACATCTAAAATGGAGGAGGAATCTAAAAGTGCTTTAAGATCAATTGTTGATCCATTTAATATCTTTCTGTATTTTTCCATCTCAGTTAAAAGAAGCCATAAGTAGGGTTCCACCAAACCATGTTGGGGAACCTCTGATGAAGAAGCCCTTTGGACCTGTGCATATGGTAAATTCTACTATATGACCGTTACGTCCATTTGCCAGTTGATGGAAAAAGTGAATGTTTGTCTCTTTTCTTTTTTTCTATAAGGAAAAGGTTGAGGCTATAAACCAAGCTCTTGTAAATGAATATGAAGTGAGAAGAAAGATGTTGTTGAAACGTCTTGATGTAACCGTGCAATCCTTCGGCTGGTCTGAAAGAGCAAAGGTATGTCCCCACCGCCATGGATATTTGGCATATATCTTCATCTAACCTTTTTTTTTTTACAAAGGGATCGAAAAACCAAATGGCAAAAATAATTTAATAATTTGTCTGACTTTTATGCCACAGATGTGAGCATTGTAGGGGGGGGTCTGGGGGTATCCTCCCCTGGAAAATATTTAACTTTAGACTCTTAAACGCTCTGTCCTGCATTTAGCGGTGTAATACAGCTAACTGTTTGTTTTTTGTTCTTACCGTACTTTTGTGGAAATTTCATAATGTAGACATGCGATCATTTTTAGCTACAATATTATGTTTCATAGGTTAATTCACTCAGAAAGTGTAACTTAAACATACTACTAAAGGTTAAACTTACATTTATCAACAATGACAAACTGAAAAACGGTCTACAAATACATCAATACAATCAGCAAACCAACAGAGGAGAAAGTGCAGCCAGGACTGCTTTGATTTCTACTCAGAATACAACTGAAACTGACCTGACACCTAATCGTCACATTTTCATGTATC